ATAATATAATAATATAATAAATAATACAATAATAGAATATTTTTTATACTATGCTATACTAGTATTACTTTGTGTTATAATCTACTTTGTAACAGTATTAAAATAATCTCTTTAGTTAAAAAAAAACTTTTATTAGATATTTTAATTGCTATTATATTATAATAAAGATACAACTAGCTACTAGCTTTTAGCATTATCTATATTAAATATCTATATTTGCAGTTTAAATTAAAATTACCTATTTAAACTTTCTAATCATAACTATATATAGTAATTATTTTTTGACTTTTACTATGTTAAGTAAATTTTAGATATATTGTATCTCAGATATATCTTTATATTAAATGCAACCTAACATGTATTTAATGCTAATTTTTAAGTGACATATATTATCTGTTAGTCAGTTATCTAAAATGTATTAGTTATAATCTAAAATATATAAGTTATTAACTAATGTATTAATCAATACTCATATATTCAACTATTATTTAATATAAAATAATACTTCAGAATATATAACTTGTTGATATTTAACTCTATATTTTAACTAGATTAAATTCCTTTTATTTCTCTTTTTATTTTTAACTATTTTTAAATCTGGATAAGCTTTAGTTACTTTAGTAAGCTTAGACTACAAATAAGTATTTAAATTTATTTAAATATATATTCGAATTTTTTTTTATTATTTTTTTTTTTTTTAGTAGTGACCTCTATTCGGTTGATACTTTATTGCTAATTTATTAAGTATTACAATTTTTTCAGAATTTACAATGAGGATACAACTAGCCACACATGCATTTTTGGTACCCAATTTATGTAGACTGCAACTAAGCTATTTTACTAATCTAGAGTTCTACACTAGCTGCTATATCTATAGCCCAAACTATGGGGTTGTCTATTTAAACTCTCTAATCATATCTCCCTACTTTTATTAATAGAAACCCCTAATAACCTAAGTATATACAACTATTAGAACTAATTTATTCTAGAGGAAATTTCAGCTATCCAAAGTATATGTCTTACCCATATACACTTGGTTAGTCTTAATTAATAACTTACACATTGTATTATCTAATACTTGGGGTTGAGATATACTATTTTTTATAATCTCTACTATTACTAATTGCCCTTGTTTGAATCACTGAACTCCAGTACCACCTCTGGGTAGTTTTTATACTTCATGTTCTTGGTTTCAATAGTTTACCAATTCAGTTAGCCCAGTAGAGTTGGTCTCGCTAAGGCTTTATATACCTCTTGGCACTCTTCTCTTGGTACATGCTTCTAGAGTACATGTCTTTTTTCTTCTGTATGACTCTAGCAGCCAGGAACTACCCCAACAACACCTCTAATTTTTCTGTGCAGTCACGTGATATCAGATAAGCAATGATCAATTTTTTAATTTTCATATATAAATTTAGTATATATGTATATATATACTTTTTTTTTTAACTTTTTTATATAACTTATTATTAATGTAATAAATACATAATGTTTCAGTTTTTTGTAATACAATGCAAATTTTTTTGTATTCATATAAATAGCAATAATAAAAATATTTTTTTCATTTGCAAGATGTTAGAAAAAATTAAAACATAGATGAACCTAATAAAAATAAACATGATATAAATGAACCTAATATAAATAAATCTGATATAATACCCAATATAAATAAACCTGATATAAATAAACCCAATATAAATGAAAGTAATATATTAAAAAAATGTACAAAATGCTGAACGTTTTTGCCCATAAATCAATTTATCAAAAAAACCTTACTTTAAAATCTTGTGAATCTTGTCACCAACAATCTTCAGTTTATTATAAAGCTTTAATTAAACATGATGAAAATGAAGTATTACTTACCAAAGAAATAGCTGAAGAAATTTTTAATAAAATTTCACTAGTTGGATCTGATAAATTTTTCAAAAAATAAATTAAATGGAATTAATTTTAAATCAAATATTATATTAGACAAATTTAAAGACAAAGATGATACACCTCAAAAAATTGCAAAAAAAATTACAAATTTGATAAGTGATAGCAATAGCTATTATTATATTTATTTCAATTATTATAGTTCAAAAAAAAAATAATTATCTATATACATTTCAATATTGATGTTCTCAATATCAAAGTTTAGCCAAAAAACCTCACAAGTATCAAAATCCTGAATATCAAAGAGATCGTGAATCAATTAAACACTTTGATTGTAGTGGAACACTTAGAATTTCTATAAATATGATAGATAATTATGCATCTATTTACCTTAAACATAAGATCCTTCACAAACAACCTGAAAGAAATAGAGTTACAGAAGAAATCAAAAATAAAATTAAAGCCAATCTTTATTTAATGCCAAACAACATTTATAGAAGATTAGAGTATAATTATTCTGAAATAACACAAAAGCAAATTTATGCATAGTGGACAACATTTATTAAAAAAAAATTTATTTGAGATATTGATCAAATAAAATTATCAAAAATTCTTTTAGAAGAATATAAATATCAAATCGTTATATATAATATCAATGAAATTAGTTTTTTAGGTTTTGTCACTTCATTTTTTGAACAATTTAAAAAAAATCAAGAAATTTTTGTAAATGCAATCTATAAAACTAATAAATTAGGATATGAGCTTTATTTAATAATCAATATGATGGGGCAGGCTTTGTATTGGCATACTTATTTGTTGATGGGAGTAAACAGGATGGTGCATGAACTAAAATTTTGGTTAATTTTTTCAAGATATTATTGCATTTAGGAATGGATCAACTTATTTGTATGTATACAGATAAAAATCTTGCTCAGATATCAGCAGTATGAAAAGTATGGCCTAATATTAAAATTCAAGTTTGCTACTGGCACTTCAAAAAAGCCCTTAAAAAATGATTAGCAGATAATACTTTACCTCAAAGAATAACATATAGCTCATATGATGCACATAATACATTTAGCTTTATTGATATTAGATTTTATTCTAAATTACCTGAAAACAGGTCTAAGACAAGAAATAATTTTATATTTTGTTCCAAAAACTTGTAATCAAAAATAACCTCAATAATGGAACATCATATGTATTTGTATCTGCTCTTTTCTAATTTGGAAGGAACTTTTATAACACAAAAAAAAATTTGAAAATATTGTACAAAAGAAATGTATGAGTTCTGTATCATTAACGATTTTAAGCATCTTTGGTCATATATGTGGCAAAATTGATATCATGGCGAACTTTGGCCTTTATAAGCATGTTCATCAATATCTGATCAGATTTGTATCTTTCATACTACAATGCTAATCGAGTCCCATTGGAAGGTTATAAAGCATGATTTTTTGCCAAAGTTTTTTAGACCACGATTAGATCTTGTAATTTACATTCTTATTGCACAACTTACACCACATCATTAGCAATAGTATTACAAATATTATTCTAGTTATGAGATGCCTTCATGGTGCAAAGAATTTAAAAAAGAATGAGGCATATTGACAAAAAAAAAACTTACCCATATATATTTAACTAATATTGAAAACTGGTCTTGCAATTGTACTGGATTTTTAATAAACTGATTTTTTTTATGCAAACACCTTATTCAATTGTCTTCTTTTACTATTAATCTATCCTTTTTTTATAATAATCAACAAAATGAACATATCTATTTATAAGTTTACTAACTCAAGAAACTTCTTCAATTTGTAGACCATTATTACCAATAACAAACAATTTATTAACAATGTTATTAAATTATGCATCTAATGATTCATTAGCTAGTAAGAAATATATTAATATAGTTAAAGTTTTTTAATTATACTTAACCAATTTTAATTAATTATTTATGTTAAAAGATGTCACTGCAGTAACAGATAATGATAGTTCTAATTAACTTTTTAAAAATTAGGAGTTAATTTTACAAGATACACTTTTAATCATACAAGAACAATGTAAAGCTAACAATATTAAATGAGCACAAGCTATTGAGAAAAGCTTTGAAGAAATTAATATTATGGTGAAGGATATTAAGAAATATAAATGAAGAATAATAAATCCAAGAACATGGAAAGATCATAATAAGCATACTATGTTCTTGTAATTTTACAAAAAGTTAATTAAGGTAAAAAATTTATTATATATATCAATTAATCTTAAAATTAGTTTATAGTCGAATAATACTTATATATATATTGTATATAGGTTAATAGACTATGCGTATAAACTTTAAAGTACAAAATCTCATTTAAAAAATTTATAATCGTCAAATAAATTATGTAAAGGTTTTGTGAATATACAAATTATGAGTAAATTGATTGATTTACTCTTTAGTATTAATATAAATAAAATGGATTTTATTGCTAGTTAATTTCAGAAATTTTAAATAAAATGTAATTACAAAAAAAAAAAATTACATATTTATAGTAATTGCACATAGTATATATTTTAGTTCGATCTAAAACTAGTGTGCATATATTATGCTTTAATTTTTATATATACAATTCTTTCTTCCTTGGTACTATTTCTTTCTGTTATTTCTTTATGTTAAAAACTTTTCT